TCTTTTCTTTTCTTTTCTTTTCTTTTCTTTTCTTTTCTTTTCTTTTCCTTTCTTCTCTTTTCTTTTCTTTCAGGTGACCATCATATTTGGAAAAAGAACTATTTCTTCTTATACGTTCTAAAATCTAAATTAATTGTATTCATCATATAGAGCTCTTGTACTGAAGGTACAGATAATAAAATAGGTGTGTTTATAGCATTCTTTAGCTATGTATTTGAATACTTTAAAAAATAATTTCTTTCCAGAATGCAAAGTAATCTTAACCCAGTTTTTAAAAGTCAGAGAAATAGCAGGTTTGGCCTTTTATAACTGTTTTTTTTTGTTGTTGTTGTTGTTGTTTTTTTTTGTTGTTGCTGTTTTTTGTTTTTTGGTTTTTTTTTCTGAAATAGTATAAGGGTTACTCCAAAAGTAAAGCTTACAATTTGATTACATTGGCCCACAGTATCATAGACAGCTATTGGTGATGCAACAGTAGCGGCTGAACCGTCCTGCCAATATTCCATTACATTTCATTGCCATGCAACAGATGGCAGCAGAGGGGCAGTCTGACAAAATGGCGTCTGACATGGAAGTGTGTATGAAGCAAAGGTGTGTCACTGAATTCCTCCATGTGGAAAAAGTTGTACCCATTGACATTACATTCATCGACACATGCTGAAAACTAGTGGAGACCAAACAGTTGATGTGATAACAGTGAGGCAGTGGGTGGTGTTTCAGCAGAGGCAATGGTGACATGAAAGATAAGCCACACTGCAGGCTGCAATGCACAGCTGTCACACCGCAAAATGAAAAGCATCTCTATCAGCTTATGGGGGCAAATTAGTTAATAGTGGTGATTATTTTGGAAAATAGTGCTTTGTATCTGAGAAACTGCTCTACCAAATAGTGTTACTGTGTGCTCTGTATCTGTTGTAGTTTCCATGGAAATAGATTAACAGTTATCCATCTAAACTTTATTAATACTTAAACTATTAAGAATTTCTGCACATCTTGCTGACAAAACGTAACTGTGATACACATTGTTAGTCTGGAGATTTTATTTTCAGGGGTCACATATTTGTAATGTTTCCAAATCACTGCTATAAATGTGAAAATCACATTGCAGGAGAAAAGCTAAAATGAAATAGTATTTACTCGTTTAATTATTCTAACTAGTAATGTCTCACCCTGAATATTTTAATTGTATGATAGAATATATGAAGCATCTTCACAATTAAATGATCATGCTTTCTTTTAATTTTTTTCTTAAATGAAGATTTAGTAGCCTGGATTTTTTTTAATTAGCAGAAAGTGTTATTGCACTTTCTTAGTGTACTGACATATTTTGTCCTTGGATCCTTTTTTCACCACTACCTTCTTTTTAAGGATTAATATTTTGCTGCAAGTCCAACAGGTGCTGTCAGCATGTATCAAGCTTCAATCTATGAAGATATTACAAATAATACTGGAAATATCTCAAAAAAATTGGACTTAAAAACCATTTCAAAACATCTGCCATCATTCTGCCACAAGATGGCCTATGTGTCTAACAAAACCCGTAACTATATTTCACATGTTGGAAAAAATGAGAGTAAAACAATACAAGAAGCTAAAAGTCATCTATGAAGAACTGGATACCCCACTGTACCACATATAGTATCATTAGAGTGGGAGCAAAGTAGCAACTGTGGAAATTCACATTATTTTTCCAATCCTCAGTGCTACAGTCAATATTTTAGTTGTATTAAACCTATGTACAGCATAATTAAAATACAGTTTTTAATTTTTTTTTTAAGATCACACAAACAAACATTTACATTATGAATGGTTGCTTCCTCCTCTTTCCTCCGACAGAAAGAAACATCCTCTTTCACCAATTCTCTCTCAACCCATTGGCTTTAGGAAGGGAGAATATAGGAAACGTATAATTTCATGCTAGGCATTAACAAACATATTCCCACAGTGATGCAATTTTTATTTCAGTTTATGTCAGGAAAGAGTTTCTACACCTTCTAAAGTTCATAGCCTATAAAGAAAATCTCAAATAAATCAGGTTTAATCCAAAACATACTAGAGCAGTCCAAGACATTCTAGAACAGAACAGTGACATCAGTAGCAATTAGATTCCTAAATGTATTTCCTTATAATAGAAATAAATTCAACTCAAGCTCTAATGGAATCTAAAGTGACATTACTGAAAAGGAAGGAGCAGTAGGACATCTATCCTGTGGAAGAATGCCTGACTACTCTGCTTCTTTCAAAACAGCACATGCCATTCACAAGCCAATATGACTGAACTGCAGAAAACCCAGTTTCTTATCTAGCATCAAAGCTGTGATTTACTTTTCACTCAATAGAACATTGTCTCTTAAATGAAATGTTTCTCTGAGAAACAGGGAACTGTGGGGAAAAAAAAGAGTAGTAAAGAATGCAGTCTGTAAGAGACAAATCTGTTCTGTGCTATGTTTTTTATCGGATGTAAAATATACAGGGGACTATGAGAAAACCCTGAGCTTTATTTCTTAGAATGGATGTGTTTCCTACCCCTGAGTGAAAGGTGGTTTTGCAGATTTCAGCTAAACAGTGAAGGCAGCTGAACAGAAAATAAGCTAAGACAGGAAGGGAGTTATCATAAAGAACCTACCAAGAAACTATAATTTGGCTGACTGAATATAAAAGCTGTTTGTTAAAATACTGAGTAGTTAAACAGAAAAGGAAGAAAGAAATGTCTATTTCTTTTCTAGCGCATTTACAGGGTATGTTGCCAGCTGTGTCTGAGACTGACAAAGTATAAAGGTATAAAGCATATACAAATATACAAACTTTGCATATTCAATATTTAAAATACAAATTCTCTCTAGTTGATGAAACAGAGTTCAGTAAGTAGAATCAGTAAGCTGCTGAACACAACAGATGAGTTTAATTTAAAAAAAATGAGATGCCATTTAATCAATATCCCATCCAAACTAATGCATGTAAAAGGCAGTTACTTTATCCTTTCATAAAAGCCTGGGAGATTTACAGAACAACTGTGTGTAACAAAGCCACTGTGAAGCAAAAGATCCTTAGAAGCTGCTCCCAAGAAAAGGAGCAGGAGGCTCCTATGCAGAGCTCCATGCATGGCAATGTCAGCAAAGCTTCCAGCACCTCTAGATTGCTCATGTTGGTATGTTGGTCTTACCAGCAATGAGCTAGATTCCTGAAAATGTGAACTCTCAATACTCACTCCTTATTTCCATATAAATATATGATAATAAAATACTTGAGCATCTCAGGTGCATCTCAGAAAATGTGTCAATGGAAGAAAACCATTATCCACTTTTCCTCTGGTTCTAAACAGTAGAGAGACTTGATCTTATGTCTGAACCAAGAATACCAGGGATCAGCTTGTTCTGAGACTTCTTCAGTGTCCACTTTCATGAAGAAAGCTTACATAATCCAGATTAAAAATGAATAATAATAACAGTAATAATAATTCCTCCAAATACCTGACTTGCTTTTTGAAACAGCCTGTATCATTACAAGATCCTGATAAAATGAAATGCCTTCATACTTCTAATGTTCCTTTAATGTCATATTTTAATAAGATATTAATATAAATAATCATTTTTAATCTAGCAATTTAAAGCGCTCACATTGTTAATATTGACTGATATTTTATATCAATTTTTTCATGTACTATTAGTGGTTAACAAAAAAATGTTACAATTAGTAATTTAGTGTAATATTGTAATAAATCATAGCGTAATTTGCAAGAATAGAAAAGCAGTGTCTATGTTTCATCCTTTGTCCCTGGACAATGAGAGTATCAGAAATATAAGAAAAACTATTATCTTACAGAGTGCAAATGTCAGACTTTGTCCTTATCTAAGGTTTAGGCAAAAGATTATCTTTAGCCATCACTGTCACCAACAGATTCCTTGTATTTAAAAAAAAAAAAAAAAAAAAAAAAAAGTCATATGTATTACTGGATTGTGTATTACTGCATTACACTGAGTACATCTCCTTAGTGAAGGATTTTTCATAGGCATGTATAAAACCTACATGCTCACTGACTTTATTGTCCATTAAGCATTTACTACTTCATTGTTTCTACCAAAACCCTTTGTACTGCATCTTCCCAAATGAAAAGATGAAGGATTTTCGACTTGTTAAACCATTTCAAATCCATATATATAATCTTCAGCATGATTACAGTCTATTTAGGAGTCCAGTTTTGATAGTATGACTTCCAGAAATGTTATCACCCATTTTAATTTTGTCCTTTGGTCAGATCATGGCCAGTGGAGAATAATTAAATTTGAGAATCTGAAATAGTCTAATAGAATTGGAAGGATTCCAGCTGGGATTTTTATCACATGCTAGCACCGTAATGCAAGTGCCAATTTAACCAGCAGGTGTCACAAAAGAGCTACAAAGATATTGTACCTCGTACTTTCAAACCTGAAATCAAGTCACCTTGTTACACTAATAGAAG